ATTTCAATTTATTCAAATTAAGGTTAATTTTAATTAAATAATTAAATAATTAAATAATTGAATAAATAAAAATAAAATTTAATTTAATATTATGTCTAGCTTATTTTCCATTTAGTTTATGATCCCGTTGAATTGCTAAAAAAGAAAATATTAAATATTAATATAATTATGTTATTAGTAAATTTTTATTGTTTATAATTCAGAAATTAATGCAATCTTAACATTTTTGTAGAAAATCGTATTAGAAAATCTTTTATTAAATATACACATTAATATTAATAAATATTTTTGTAATATATGTATACCTTTCTTTCTATTATTTCTTCTTTTCTTTTTTTTTTCTTTTTTTTATATCTTTTTGCTTTTTATTCCTATTTTTTTGTCGTCTTTTTACTTTGTATTGAATAAAATTTTCTTCTTTCTCTTTCTTTCTTTGTCTTCTTTAATTTTGAAACTTTAAGCATAAAATATATATAAATATATAAACATATACAAAAAAGTAAATTTATTAATACATATAAATATAACTCGTAATATTAAAAGGCTATGGAGCCGTACGCGGATGTTGGACTTTTCGTTGGAATCGACGCACCAACATCCGCGTACGGCTCCATAGCCTTTATATTACGAGTTATATTTAATATTAGGACTCCTAATATAGGAGCCTTAAAAATTGTATTATTAATATAAATTTAAATGTTTACTTAATTAAATAAATACCTTTTTTTTATCATTTTCTCTTCTTTCTTCTTCTTTTTCTTTCTTATATATTATATTGTTTCTTTTTTTGTTTTTAGCGTCTTATTCGCACTTTCAATTAAATAAATTATGTTTTTTTTCAATTCTTTGTTTTCTTTAACTTTGAAATCTTAAGCAGAGGATATATAGCATATTTAAACATTGTATAAAAGAATAAAGTAATTACGAAAGAGATAAGGGACTGTAAATATTTGTATCTTATTATTTGTATTTTTTTATTTTGTATTTGTATTTGTATATTTTGGTGCGCAAAACATAAATTTATAAATTAAAATTGTCGCTCTCAATTGAAAAAAATTATTATAAATACTAAAGCTAATAGTTGTGTGGTTAGAATATTTGTCATCTTAATATAGGTTTAGACACACAATTCAATATACTAACTATCCTCTGCTTTAAAAATCTTACATTATTATATTCTTTGATAAAAATGCAGTTATGATTGTGTATATATGTGTATGTGTGTGTGAATATATTGTAAGAGATATTAAATTAAATGGTTAAAAAAATAAAAGAATTTATGCTTTATTTTAAAGCAGAGAATAATTGATACATTGAAATGTAATTAATAACTTTTTTATTAATTGAAAGCAGCAATTTTATCTTGTAGATTCGTGTTTTACGCACCAAAATACACAAAATTGTGAAATTTTAATCAAATCGATGAGAAAACCTCTCTCCTTCATAATTACCAAGAGTAACAGATATATTTTTATTATTTTTATTATATATTGTTATTATATATATATACCTTTTGTTCCTTCTTCTCTTCTTTTCCTCTTTTTGATATATTTTTATATTCTTTCTCTTTCTATCTTTGTTTTTTGATATCTTTTTCTATTTTGAAACTGCATAAAATACATAATACAAAAATATTAGGTTGTTCGGAAAGTTCGTTTCAAGTTTTATAAATTTGAGCGCGGTGAAACGGACTTGTGCAAAGTATCGGCGGGTTCTCTAATGATTACTCGAGGATTTTTGTGCACAAGATCTTTAAGAAGCGTTTCATCAATCTTATAAGATCGACCAGAGCAAGCTTGATTTTCTATATTAAAATCGCCAATTTCGACTCTTCGATATCAGTTGCGAATTATGTGAATGACACAGGCACTCTACACATATAAAGAGAACCTGAATGAGATGTTTTCTATATATGTATAGAATGTCTGCGTCATTCAGACAGTTCGCAACTTGTATCGAAGAGTCGAAGTTGGTGATTTTAATATAGAAGATCAAGCTTGCTCTGGTCGATCTCATGAGATTAATGAAACGCTTCTTAAAGATCTCGTGCACAAAAATCCTCGAGAAACCATTAGAGAACTCGCCAACACTTTGCACAAGCTGTTTCCACCGCGCTCAAATTTATATAGAAAATTTGAAGTTAAAATTGTCGCTCTCAATTGGAAAAAAATATTATAAATACTAAAGCTAATAGTTGTGTAGTTAGAATATTTATTATATTAATATAGATTTAGACACACAATTCAACATACCAACTATTCTCTGCTTTAAAAAAACTTACATTATTATTTTCTTTGATAAATATGCAGTTTTATTGTGTGATTATGTGTGTGTGTGTGTGTGTGAACTATATTGTAATATATTGAATTTAATGGTTAAAAAAAATAATTTATGCTTTTTTTTAGAGTAGAGAATAATTGGTACACTGAAAAGTAATTAATAACTTTTTTATTAATTGAAAGCAGTAATTTTAACTTGTAGATTCGTGTTTTACGCACTATTTATAAAATAATTAAAATGCACAAATTGCGAAATTTCAATGAAATCGATAAGGAAGCCTCTCTTCTTCATAATTACCAAGAGTAAACAAATATATTTTAAATATTTTCGTTATATATATATATATATTTATATATATACCTCTTATTCTTTATTGTTCCTTCTTCTCTTCTTTTTTTTCAATATATTTCTATATTTTTCTCTTTCTCTCTTTGTTTTTTAATATCTTCTTACTTTTTCTAATAAAATTTTATACTTATTTTTTTCTTTAATTATATTTTCTTTATAGACATAATATTGTGAAAACTTTTGTGAAATATTATGATATATGTATGAAGTAAGTCATGAACAAGACACACGAGATGACCTTAGAACAAATAAATTTATAGAAAGGAAATAGTATATATTTTTCTAAAAAAAAATTATTCAAAAAATAATTGTACAAAAGAAAGTATAGTAATGCCTATTCATCTATATAAATATGCGTTAACTTGGTAGATATGAATAATAGTTCAAAATTTCTTGGTTAAAATAGATAATTGTTTTCATATTTTCGAATAAAGTAGGTATAATTAATCTGAGATCATAAATATAGAAATATTCCTATGTCTATGTCTAAGATCGATTAATAATATATTTCACCAATCATAATCCTTTATTCTTCAGAGAAATGGTTGTGATTGGCCATATTTCAGATAGTTTTAAAACAAAGCGGATCCATTGTTTCAAATAAATGATTTATTTAAACTTATTCAACTAAATATTAGTTGAATTTAAATAATCTTTTTTTCAGTGTGTAATACAATGTATTTTATGAAATAAAATTAAATTTTATGAGAATGTTTTCGTAAACATATTGCATTATTGCATATATTCTTCTAGAGACTATACAGTATGCTGTATCAATTTTTTCCAAACTTTGACATTAACTAAAATATAATTATTTCAATAATGTTGAAAATAGATGTCACCACTCGTTACATAAATAATGATGTTTCAAATATGATGTTATATGTAATACAATGTACTTTATGAAATAAAATTAAATTTTATGTAGAATGTTTTTGTAAGCATATTGCATTATCACAATTGATAGGATTTTAATTAAATAATTAAGCAAATTTATCTATTTATAAAATAATTAAGAGAAAAGATATATATCATTTTACTTCAGTACTCTCTAGCCAAAATTTATGATACATTAAACTAATTATTATGTCGAAATAGGCTATCTTTTTGCTTACTCCTGAGTAAATTAAACATAAAAACAGAGATCGATAATATTAAAAAGAAAAAGAATCCTTCGATTTGCAAAATTTAATTTTTTATTTTACATCTGCATAGAAAGTATGAATGATGATTAATAAACGACTAATCCTGTAGTTTGAAATCTGATTTAAATATAATTATTGTACTCGATATCTCGGCCATATTAAAATTAAATATGAATATATCTACATTCTTGCAATATATAATAATACAACATATGATATACACAATAATTAAGTACAAAATATCCTATAAATTGTCGTAATGCAATTTGCTTACGAAAACATTTTACATAAAATTTAATTTTATTTCATAAAATACATTATAATACATAACATCATTTTTGAAAAACCATTACTTATGTAACGAATGGTGACATTTATTTTTAACATCATTGAAATAATTATATTTTACTTAATGTCAAAGTTCGATAAAAAATTGATACTTGATACTATATATAGTTTCTAGAAGAGTATATAAAATAATACTTTCAAAATATTATAACGTTTAAATAACACGAAAGTGAAACTAATTATAACCAAACATTGTGAACGCGTTAAAAAAAAATTTTTTAAATATTAGAATTATTTTCACATATTATTTAATAAAATGGAAAAGAATCATTATTTTCGAATCATTTTGCGTGGTGGTAATCCTAAATCTTCATTGGATGTTTTTTTTACAATTGGTCTTGTACCCAACAATAATTGTTGAAATGATAACTTTTCCTCTCCTATTTGCTTTATGTCTGTTGAATGATCAATCTCCAAATAAAATACGTCATCTAAATGATAAAATTATAATATTAATGACAGTTATATAGTAATTATATTTTTGGAAATTTTAAAACTTTTTCACATAGCTTACTCATAATTTTTACATATCCTTTCATTTCAATCATTTGCCCCTTGTCAAAGTAGACATCATTATCATAATTTACTATTTGTATCTCCAATTTATACATCTTATCTGTAATGGATCCGCAGCCAATTGTTTTAAAACTATTTAGAAATTTATTAAAATTCGTTTTAATGTATCCACGTATAACTGAAAAAAATTTTATTAAATTTTAGTTTATCACAAGATTCATCTTTAGTTCATCAATATCATTTTTAGTTTATCACTGTATTATAACGAATTGACTTATAGAAAATATTTAAATCTCATAATTATAAAAATCAAACAGTATAAAATAAGAAATTATGTAAAAAATATGTATATAAAAGATTTATAAAAGCATATAGTTACATATTTATACGTACGTTTGCATACAAATGTTTATCGATATATAAGAAATACCGGATTTTAGTATAAAGTATATTATATACATATAAAAACACTTACTAATGCATGCATTAAGATGTTGAGGTACATCACACAATTCCACTAATTGTGGTTGCACCGCTTGAATGTTTTTTTTAGGTCAAAATTACCCAACGTATTTATTGTCGTGTTGGATCGAATAATTAGTTCGTATTGAAGTGTCCCTTGGTTGAATTCAGGTATTTTTACCTTTTTAGCCTTAGCACCATCAATATGCACAATCTGCAAAATTAACAAATATTATTAAATTAAATATGTATATTAAATTAATATTATTCTAATACTACTGTTTTATATGTACTTTATTGGAATAAACTTTTTTTTTAAATATTACAACAAAATGATAATAAAAATAATAATTTTAATGTTATAAAAAATAAATTATACAAAAATGTATCGCTTACTCGATTTGGTTGTATATAAAAATTTATACGATCAATTTCTTCGTTCCAGGCAACAACTTGAATGCGATGTTTACTGTTGTTGTTCACCAAAAATTTTAATAATCTATAATGTTGGGATTTACCAACTATCTTCGGACCGTCAATTTCATCGATAAATCCAACAATTTCTCTAAATAAATTTTTTATTAAAATTAGTAATATAATAATATTTTAATTTGTTTTAATTATCAAGCTAAATTTGTTTTAATTATCAAATTAAATATTATGTTCTTTTATTTGTTAATTACAACAAAAGATAATTTTTTTTTATTAAGAAAGAATTAAATATATATATAAATGTGATCACACAACAATTGTTAATAAATAATCGAAAAGAAACTTTGAAGGTCATTGTGACATAAAAATTTTGATATTAAATATGTATATGTGTATCAAAACTATATTAATTTACAAATGAGATATTTTAATTAAATTATTCTAATAACATGCTTTAAAAAACAATACATTATTAACGAAAGCGTACTAAATATCATTTACTGATAATATTTTTCCAATGGTAGATTTGATAATTACATGTTATATAATTTCTGATAATGTAAATTTTAAAAACAATTCATTATATTGTAGTACATTTCGTTATTAAATTTTTCGTTTAAATTAATCTCATAAATATTTTATTAACTGATATGATAATACATTTAAGACATAGAGGTAAAAATTTGATAAATAATTATACAATTAAATAAAAAATTATATTATATTAAGTATAAATTAAAAATATAAAGACTCACACAGTAGAATCTTCGAATTGTATCGATTCCAACATTTCATCCGATGCCAAATATATCGTCTCCAAAACATCATTTTGATTGAGAAAAGTAATTTCCTGTCTATTGACTTCCACATCATTACTTCGATTTGGAGTAAAAGTTTCCTTTTTGTTGCAGGTTTCCGAATGACTTTCTTCGTTTAATGTCTCCTGCTGTATGTTAAGTATTCTGTAAATGAGTAGCGTATATCAATATAATATCGTGATTAATAAAATATATTTTATAAAACTTTTATGTCGCAAGTTACAAGCTCTTCCATTTAAATTATGTAAAAGATTATTATATTGCGAACTTTAAAAAAGAATCGGTAAAATAGAATCTCTTTTATATAAGAAAGCAGTTATAAAAATAATGTAAATTATTACTAAAAAGCTATCAATCGATTTTAACTAACAAAATTAGCTATTCTCTGTAACAATAATTTAAAAATTTATAAATAAAAAATGAAAATATTAATAAAAATAAGTATATTAATAAATTTACTTGTTAAGCGAGGATTCCTTTAAATTAATTTGGGACGAATGTTTATTTCCATTATTTTTTTTTTTATCCTTTTGATGTTGGTTAACTTTTTCCATTTTTTCTTTCTATCTCTTTTTCTTCCTCGTTCCTTTATTTAAAACTAAAACAAAAACGTATACTATAATATATCGCATAAAGTGTAATTTTATGTTAAAAATAGAAATTAAATCGCAAGAGTTTTATAAGAGAGCAATATTAATATCGAACAAAATTTAAAAAAAAAATTTTTTTAAATTTAAAATTTAAAAAATTTTAACAAAATTATAATTTAAATTTTTAAAAATAATTAAGTAATGTAATAATTATTAAATTTGTTTATAATGTATAATAATTTATAAAATAATTATTAAAAATATATCAATAATTTAGCTCACCTCTTCGAACCTCCTGTAGAATTGAGAAGATATGTTGCTATGTATAAAGAGTAACATATTTTGTTTTATCGTTGCTATAGAAAATTCGATGACGTTAAAGTTGTGTTCTAAAATGTGACGTGAATTATAGATTTTCAATATTAATAGTGATTTTAGAACACAACTTTAACGTCATCGAATTTTCTATAGCAACGATAAAACAAATATGTTACTCTTTATAATAGCAACATATCTTCTCAAATCTACAGGAGGTTCGAAGAAGTGAGCTAAATTATTGATATATTTTTAATAATTATTTATAAATTATTATACATTATAAATAAATTTAATAATTATTACATTACTTAATTATTTTTTAAATTTTAAATTATAATTTTGTTAAAATTTTTTAATATATATTTTAAATTTAAAAAAATTTTTTTTTTAAATTTTGTTCGATATTGATATTGCTCTCTTATAAAACTCTTGCGATTTATTTCTATTTTTAACATAAATTACACTTTATGCGATATATTATAGTATACGTTTTTGTTTTAGTTTTAAATAAAGGAACGAGGAAGAAAAAGAGATAAAAAGAAAAAATGGAAAAAGTTAACCAACATCAAAAGGATAAGAAAAAAAATAATGGAAATAAACATTCGTCCCAAATTAATTTAAAGGAATCCTCGCTTAACAAGTAAATTTATTAATATACTTATTTTTATTAATATTTTCATTTTTTATTTAAAATTTTTAAATTATTGTTACAGAGAATAGCTAATTTTGTTAGTTAAAATCGATTGATAGCTTTTTAGTAATAATTTACATTATTTTTATAACTGCTTTCTTATATAAAAGAGATTCTATTTTACCGATTCTTTTTTAAAGTTCGCAATATAATAATCTTTTACATAATTTAAATGGAAGAGCTTGTAACTTGCGACATAAAAGTTTTATAAAATATATTTTATTAATCACGATATTATTTGATATACGCTACTCATTTACAGAATACTTAACATACAGCAGGAGACATTAAACGAAGAAAGTCATTCGGAAACCTGCAACAAAAAGAAAACTTTTACTCCAAATCGAAGTAATGATGTGGAAGTCAATAGACAGGAAATTACTTTTCTCAATCAAAATGATGTTTTGGAGACGATATATTTGGCATCGGATGAAATGTTGGAATCGATACAATTCGAAGATTCTACTGTGTGAGTCTTTATATTTTTAATTTATACTTAATATAATATAATTTTTTATTTAATTGTATAATTATTATGCAAATTTTTACCTCTATGTCTTAAATGTATTATCATATCAGTAATAAAATATTTTTAAGATTAATTTAAACGAAAAATTTAATAACGAAATATACTACAATATAATGAATTGTTTTTAAAATTTACATTATCAGAAATTATATAACATGTAATTATCAAATCTACCATTGGAAAAATATTATCAATAAATGATATTTAGTACGCTTTCGTTAATAATGTATTGTTTTTTAAAGCATGTTATTAGAATAATTTAATTAAAATATCTCATTTGTAAATTAATATAGTTTTGATACACATATACATATTTAATATCAAAATTTTTATGTCACAATAACCTTCAAAGTTTCTTTTCGACTATTTATTAACAATTGTTGTGATCACATTATGTATATATATTTAATTCTTTCTTAAATAAAAATAATTATCTTTTGTTGTAATTAACAAATAAAAGAACATAATATTTAATATTTTAGCTTGATAATTAAAACAAATTAAAATATTAATATATTAACTAATTTTAATAAAAATTTATTTAGAGAAATTGTTGGATTTATCGATGAAAATTGAAGGTCCGAAAGATAGTTGGTAAA